CTGCTGACTGTGATTTGAGTTTGCGCCTTTCTTTGAGAAGGAAGAAGCACATTTTCAACCTTTCTAGTTTTCTGGGATAAAGCGTACATTGCTTTTAATTATTTAGGCTGACACACATTAACACTGTAAGTCCATAGTCCATAGTGAGTGAAACAAGAGGGAGGGACCAGGTGGATTATAACTCACCCAGGAAGAAGAGTAGGCACCAGAGTTGGCAAGGCCCTTACAGGAAAACAGGAATTTGGGGTAGACAACCAGCACAGAACTTGAGTGTTGTGAAGGATGTCCCCTGCTCCTTTCAGAGGAGCATCCCTAGTCACTGCCTGTTAGCTCTTTTGCAAAGAAGCAGTTTTAAGTATTTGGACAGGTAATAGGAAGAAGGCCCACAGACTACTCACTCAGTGTCACGGTCTGTTTGGATCTCTCAAATTTACAGGACAACGTACTCTGTAAATTAAACTTTATTTTATAAACTCATTAGGAAGGAAAACAAACACGACAAACAAGGGCTCTATCTCCTTTGTACAGGCTGGTCTAGCACATGAATTCACTAATTCATCACTTAAGTCATGAGGTTTCTAACTCACAAGTTCTCCAATTCATAACTCACAATTCATTAACTCATAAGTTAATGTAACTCATGCACCTATGAGCAAAATAATTACCTAAGCAATGGTGAGAGTGCTCATCCTTCCTCCTCTGTCACAGTGCGGGCATCCCCTGTATCACGCCAGGAAGCACAAACATCAGTGTGTTATCAACACTGTTTTCATCACAAATCCAAAACATAGCACCCATACAGGCTACTATGAAGAAAATGAACTCTATCCCAGCCAAAACCAGTACAATCTCCACAGCTTATTCCCTACCATTTACATCATGCTCAGGTCCCACACTATCCAATAGATCCTCATTAGCCACTTTAGCCCTTCCCATCCTTTGATATATACACAAATATCATTCCCTTAGCCTCTGAACCACCCCTGTAAAATGCCCATAAAATGTCCATGAAATGTCCATTGAGTTCATTTAGTCCAGGACTTTGTGCTCCATCTGTTATGGTGGTCACTCAGGACAGGAGAGGTGGTGTGTTGCGTGGAGTTATTGGGCACCAAAGCCAGCTCAGGTTGGGTCACTGCTGCACTTGCACTGCTTCTTGTAAGGCTTGTCCTCCATTGGTTCAGGTGGTTCCTGCTATAGTAATTCCCATAACATGCAACTCAGATCATGGGTTACAACAATTTAAAGGTATTTCCATTACAATCTCCACCCGTGGTCTCTTTGGGCCAGGTTATAGGGTTTAACATTGCAACAAACTCCTCCCCTTGCTCCTAGCCGGGCTAGCAACAAGGGGTTCCTGCTACAGTAATTCCCATAACATGCAACTCAAATCCTGGGTTACAACAATCTCAAGATATAGCCATTATAATCTCTGCCTCTGGTCCCTTTGGACACCGCAGTGTACTTCTACCCTTGCCTCTGCTCCAGCGTGGACTTATCCACAGACCCCAGTCCCTTAGGGGCGGACCTGCTCCAGTGTGGACTTACTCATGGGCCACAGTCTCTTCAGAGGTATACCTGATGTGGCCTGGACTTACCCACAGCCACAGTCACTTCGAGGTGTACCTCCTCCAGCCCAGCCTTATCCATGGGCCATAGTCCCTTCAGGGGTGTACCTGCTGTGGTGTGGACATATCCATGACCACAGACGCTTCTGCTCTGACATGGACTTATCCACAGCCACAGACACTTTGGGATGTCCTGCTCCTGCATGGACTTATCCACAGGTCAAGTCCCTTCGACTGAAGTTGACCCTGGAGTTCCAGCCTGTCTAGCACAGCAGCACAAAAACAGCAACACAGAAACAGCAGCGATGCCCTGGCCATCTGCCAGCCCAGGCACATGGCCACTGCTGTTATCAAAATGCTCCCAGGCACAGCAGGGTAAGATGATAAGCACTAGAGCAAACAGCAAGAGCAAAAAGCAGCCACTAACAAGCACTAGACGCTAATGTACAGCGAGGCAAGCAAACCCCGTGGCAAGCACAGGACTGCCAATTAATAGCTAAACACCTATAACAGCTTTAAATTTGATCTAGCACATTCCAATCAAATCTGTCATTACCTTGAACCCTTTGAGCGCCATGTTGGGCACTGAAAATGACTGTCATGGTTTAACCCCAGCAGGCAACTCAGCCCCACGCAGCCACGTACTCACTTTCTCCCAGTGGGATGGGGGAGGTAATCAGAGGGTAAAAGTGAGAAAACTCGTGGGTTGAGATAGAGACAGTTTAATAGGTAAAGCAAAAGCCGCGCATGCAAGCAAAGCAGAACAAGGAATTCATTCACTACTTCCCATGGGCAGGCAGGTGTTCAGCCACCTCCAGGAAAGCAGGGCTCCATCACGCGTAACGGTTACTTGGGAAGACAAACGCCATCACTCTGAATGTCCCCCCTTCCTCCTTCTTCCCCCGGGTTTTATTGCTGAGCACAGAGTCATGTGGTATGGAATATCCCTTCGGTCAGTTGGGGTCAGCTGTCCCGGCTGTGCCCCCTCCCAACTCCTTGTGCACCCCCAGCCTACTGGCTGGCAGGGCAGCGTGACAAACAGAGAAGGCCTTGACACTGTGCAAGCACTGCTCAGCAATAGCTAAAACATCCCTGTGTTATCAACAGTTTTCATCACAAATCCGAAACATAGCACCATACAAGCTACTATGAAGAAAATTAACTCTATCCCAGCCAAAACCAGTTCAGTAAATAAATAAAATATTGTTTAATTGGCCAAAAAGTCAGCATGAATTTTCACTGTGTGAAAGACACAATAAGCTCAACAACTAAGGAACGTCCTTTATCTTGTTTTTTATCAAGCTAACTTAATAGGAGGTGAATTCTTTATGTGTAATGTTGGTAAAATGTGCACCCAGAATTGCCTGTACATAAGCATTTGTACATTACAAAAAGCTCTTCTGAAAATTGTTATCTGTTGAGTAGATCAGGCTGCTGTTGCAAAATGAAGGACCGCAGAGTGATTCTGTCATGACAGCAGTCCTTCTCCTCTGTGAATGAAAAGGGGGATCGTGCAAAGTGCCTCCAAAGGCTTCTAAAATACTGCCACAAAGTGGCTAAATCATCCTTACAAGCTCTTTTATGTTTTAAATGCATTGTTCTCAAGAATTTTTCAACTTGAAAATAAATTAATTTTTAAGTCATCAAGCCATAACAAGACAGAAACTCTGACAATCACGCATTCAAAGCATTTCAATGTCAGTTTATTCTACAGGATGAGACAAGTACCAGCAGAAGATAAAGCATTCCTGATTCCTTGGAGCCAAATTTAAAGTTGAACTTTCCTCAGGAAGAATAAGGGTCTATATTCTACTTGTTCATACTCATGTACAAAGTACTACCACTTCTTGTATTTCCGTGGTTCCTGGGAACGAGATCATAACCCATACTTAACATCTGGGACGTGGGAAAAGGTGGTAGGCATATGGTTACTATTTCACTAGTACTAGAGACAGGGTCTTCTCCACAAACTGAAGGAGGAACCAGCTGTTGTACTTTAGACTGTACATTAACCTCATCTAACTTTTAGATGGTAAGGGTTAGGGAAGGTGAATTCCAACCATGGACATACTATCTTATGCCAACAACCAAGCAGGGATCCATGCTCCATCTTACGACTTTGTGATGTAAGAAGGGAACGGAGCTTGTGCCACACGCGATGCTGATTCCAGGGTCCTTGGTTTACATCTTGTGCAGAGCTCTGTAAAACAGAGGATGTCTCCTTATCACTGAGTGAAAAATAAGTTTTGTTTCACTGTATCCTTTGTGACATCACAGGGACTAATTTTAAAACGAGAGTTCGTATTAAAAATGTAACATCGAAAAAACTTCTAGTCAAAATCCCAGATCCTCAGAGTCACTTCTCATTACAGTCTCAGTCCAAATACTCACTGCTTTGAAGTTCAGAAATTCAGTGTGACTGAAATTCACTCGGCAAGTCAAGACTTGTCTCCCAACATTTTCCAGAGGTTTGAAAGATTTTATTCCAACAGATATATTCCTCCATTGCCCTTTTATTTGAAGGTACCCAAACTAGCAAGGTTTTTAAAATGTGTATTTTCAGCAGTAGGTGGCACTATGAAGTTTCTATCTTCATAATTATTCTAATATAAAATAACATAAAATGTTATGCATATACATTAGAAAGAGCTTCATCAAATGTTGTTAATAGTCCATTATCTGAAAATGTGGCCAGATCTTTCCATTTTCCTATCATTTTAAAAAGAGCATGAAAATATTTTAGAATAAATTCTGATAATAAAATAAATGTTTTTCTAAATATTGATTGACAAAAAGTCTAATGCAAGAATAGGAATAATAAGAATGTCTAATAAATTTTAAAATTATATGTGTCATAAAAAGTTCTCTATACTCTTTGTTACTCTTCAGTAAAGTACCACCATGGGTTGTTCTTGAATATATTACTTCAGCTACTTCAAATTTCCTGGAAATTATATCTATCTCATTTGCATATAAGCTGTAATATTGCAGTAATGGGTGTCAATACATATAGACTAGGTATATAAGTTGTATAATGTAAATGAACATATACTAACAGGAATACAGCAAATGGAAAAGCATTTGGATTTTTCTGTGCTTGGCCAAAAGTTCCTATTTACAAGTGGAGACCAAAGCATCAAATGCAGGCCCATATCCTCTAGGAATACCACATGGAGATGTTACTATATCCCAAATAAACTCCAGGATTAGAGAGATGCAATGTTAATTGGAAACATTTTCTTCAAAACTTTACTATACAAAAAGCTATAAAGGGCAACTAACAAACAAGCCTGTGTTTCCGGGTATTTCAGGCTGTCTAATCAAATGAAAGTAACAATAATGCAAAAGTATTGCTCATACTTTGTTTCAGAAAGCTCCTAATGCCATACACCTCGTTCATCAGTGGCGTACGGTGGCAATAGTGCAGTGAGATACAGCATTTTCATTAAGCTGATTTTTGGATGGCTGCCTTCTCATCAGAAATGAAGCGCTGGTCTGCCTGGGCTCAAGGTGTGAAGATAAGGAAAGGAGAAAAGAAAAGAAAAGCAAGGAACACAAATGAAATATATAGTCAATGCTTTTTTATCTGGCCTGGCCAGAAAGTGTCCTTGCCTTTTTTTTTCACCCCAGGCTCCAAGCAAGCTGCTTAGCTTTGCATACTATTTCTGCACTATGATACAATCTGTGCCAACGCCTAAGATTCACGTTTGCTTTTATTTTGCTTTCTATTAAATAAAGCATGTAGAAAAGACACCTTTATAGCTTCAGGGCAATTTTTCACCAACTGACATTGTGTATTACTCATTTTGTGCTAACGTGGTCTGCTTGCTGTTTCTTTTATAATACTGAAAAAGTCAAAAGCTGGTACTTAATAAAAACATCATTTGCAAGGAGCTGGCAGCAGCTGTACTCAAAGGTTTTTTAACTTGTGACAGCCCACTTCTGTTTCTCCGGAGTCTCCAACAGAGTCCTTTCAGTTGGCTTCAGTTGGGTTCACTTTTAGACCACAGAATAAAGTGGTACTACAAAAACAATACACAGGAATATACTTAAAGTTTTGCTGCTGGTTATCCATTACATACGATTTATTGTCGCCATGCATTCTCCCTCCAAAGAATCAAAGCCATAGCATCATAAGAGCTCCTTCAATATACCTAGCTCATTCAGTGATGCAGCACATGTTCTACTTAGACCTCCATAATACATTTAGTGGCTCTATGGATGTGTTTTAACTAAATTTTCATTGTAAGGCAAGTGCTTCCACTCTATCTAGTACAGTTATCAAACATGCATATAATAAATCTGCTTAGATTACAGGTTCTTCTTCCTTCAAAGGGATATATCGATTTCATATAATTAGAGCAAGCAATATCTTTGGGTAGACACCCACCTGCAACACGATGGTACAAAGAGGTTTTTTAATTGTTACAGATTTATCAAATTTATACACTTGTGCTATTTTTAATTTACAAAGTCACACTCTTGTACCTTGTAGGGCAAATGTGAAAATGAGCTCTTCACATTAGCCCTGTTTAAATTGCAAGGTGCACTAACACAGCTCAACGGTTGTGAATACCCAAAGCAGGCATAGTGCGCCAGTCTGAGAGAGACTATAGCAGCACTCCGGCTGCAAGCCGCAGAAGCTGAATAAGCACCTGCAAAGGAATAGTTAGATCTATTATGGCTAGTAAATGTCCTAATTCCATGCTATTTTGTTATGTTAGATCATTGAAAGTAGCCTGAAAAATGGGCCCAAAGGGTAACCAAAGGATCGTTTGAAAGGTACATATTGTCATATACTTTCAGCCAGGCTACAAACACAATGGCAGCGGTCATACCCTCGTCAAAGCCATATTCAGTGCACCGAATTGATTAACTATTCAACTGCTACTTGTATTTCCAAGTGGAATTCAGCTAGCTCTCTGAGTAATGTCATTTACCAAATAATGACAAGTGAGTTAAGATAAGACACTCCGGTAATTTGGTAACTATGACACAGGGATCCAGGCCCACGGCCCCTCCGCTTTAAAGCATTCCCTCCCACTCGTGGGTGTTCCGTGGCACATGCTCGCTGTTAGGCCTGAGGAATATGATATGCTGTTGAATGCGCAGTAAATAGCTGGAGGAGTCAAAAGGTTGACGCAGACGTTGTCAGACCTCCTGACAACAGCAGACATTGCTGCTCTGTGGGGGACCTCGTCTGAAGGTATAAATCGCAAACAATTTGTGTGTATCGAACCCCAAATCCCCTTATCTCTGTTTTGGCTGGTCTGCGAGTCTGGGCACTTGTTCGGCGTTCTTCTGCTCGGCAGAAGGCAGCCGGCACACCGGCGGGTCT